GAGGGGCATAAAAACCGTTTCGGATGACTGATTCCCATATTGGTGATAGGTAGAGACCTGAACCGCGGTTAAGATTGTTAGGTTGCTTATAGATTTCTATAGACTCTTGGATTTTTCGTTGATAGAAGAATTGATTACATGCAAGAATTTTAGTTTTATCGCATAAAATTTTATGCCCGGCTTCGTGATTGTGTTCGGCAACAGCTGATGAGTTTATCTGTGTTAGTATTAAGGCTCTTTCGTGTTCTTTGAGCCTAGTTGATATTTTTCTTTCTTTGCCGCATATGCATGGTATATTGTAAACTCCTGGCATCTCAAATGGAATTTTATCTTTGACTGACCGAAGTGAAGAGATTTTTGGACAAGTGGTAAATCTGGTTTTGACGTTATACTTCTTTAAAACTTTGGATATGTGGTCAGTGATATTTCGAATGTAAGGAAGGACCTCAGTGGCAAGTATAGGATTGCTTTTGGCCCCATTGCCATTGGAAGGTTGTGGTGAAGTGTATTTTTTGATCGAACGCTTAATATCTTTAATTGTGATATATTTGTCTCGTCTGTCGATTCATCCATCCGTAGCGAAAAGAAAATACACTTTTCCATATCATTTGCCAATTCTGCCCCCAAATTCTCCGCAATTACTTTAATTCTTCTAGTAACAGTTTGCGCTGATAATTGCAACGTTTTCATAGATGAAACTATCTCCTTTTTATTTTTAAACTCATCAAAAAGCTAACCAGCAGCCTCTAACCTTCTTTCACTAATTCTCCATCCGTAAATGGTGTTTTATTCTAAACTAGTAAATGCGATATTTTATATGACGCGATCGTTGCTGCTTTATGTTGTTGCAGTGGTTCAGTAAAAAAAACTTTTCTGATTAGTTATTGAAAATTTTGAAGAAATAACTTTTTTCTTCTAATTTCAGAGTTCATTGGATAGTCTATCCAGCACACAGTACTGAGAACGCACAGACACCCGATTGATGACTTTTTTACCAATTTTAATAATGTTTAGCGTTTTCTGTGTTATGTCGCGGTGCCTTTGTAATTATACATATATGTAGATTTTTCTCAATTTTAATAGAAAATGAGAAATTTTGATTTTTACGTATTTCCGGAAGTAATTCAAAACGGATTTTAAACGGAAACGGTAGGCAACAGTTTGAGCCACACTGTATGTGTTGCCGTTTCAGAGATCCCAGTGGTGAGCGTCGAATTTGAAACATCCGATATAGTTATCTCGAAATACGAGCGTGACGCCAACCAGTCTTACTCCGATTCCAATTTGGATCGTTTTTACAGATGGTTAGAAACACTAGACAAGCGCTGTGCGATTTTTATTTCTTCAAAGCATATATAGCGAATGCAGAAGTTGTGTAAAACTGTTATTGAGATGCGCCCTCGAAATATAAGGGTGTTTTCTTTTTGTCAAAAACGCGGACATTTTCCTACCGCTTACAAAGTAGTACGTTATTTTAATTGACGCTCGTTATGCTTAGTTTGAAATTTCGCAAACACTGCACTTCCATTTCCGCTGAACTGTCATTTTTGCTAACCTGTTAATTAATATTATTAGTATATCATATTCCGGAGAGCGGAAGCGGTAAATCCAATTAAAGCGTCGAAATTAATAAATTTTATTACGAGACGAAAATTTAATAATACTATTTTAATACAATTCGCAACTCGTGATACAACGGCTAAATGCCTTTTGTTCACTTCTAGAGCTTAATCTCTGGAAAGGTCAAAGGGCAAAACCTATGCCGCATAGCAGTTGCACGGTTGCAGCGCAGTTATATAACATAAAACTTCAAATCGCAATTCAGAGTATCGCCTTCGGCTTCATTATTTCGCAAAATTTGAAGGCGCGAATTTTTTTTATTGCGGGTAGAGAATAAATAACTACTTTTCGTTAATAACTAAAGATTGTATTTTTCCACCCCTTAGTTTAAAATACCCAATAATGTAGGGATCAAGCGTGAGAAAAGTGTCACATTTTGCCTTGAATTCTATAGTTGACAGTTAAGATATCTAATACTACAAAGAGTTACAGATTTTCAAGATTGCAAAAAATAATTTTCAGTTCAATAGATCCAAATATAAAAAAAATGTTCCTAAGCATTTGAAAACAAAAATTAAGTAAACCTACCAAAAGAAAAAGCTGGAAATTGATTTTGACGTTCCGAAATATCCAGCAGAGGCCGCAATTGCATTTTAAAATCCGTTTTCTGCAAAATTTTCTTGTATTAACGATACTTAGAATGAACACTGTTTTAAAGCTGAAAAAATTTCAACTCTTTTTTGCTAGATGCCTTTTACTGTATCTCGAAAAGTAAAGCGGTGGGAGTGCTCCAACCTTTTTCGGGCTTTTCCTAGGCTTTCGAATGTGCAGTGAGTGGGATGATTGCGATAGCGCACCCTACCACCAGATGTCGTTTTCTGACATAATGGCAAAAAAAAATCTGAATCCTAACCTAAAATATGAATAAAAGAATTTGAAAGGGGTTGTCATCGAAATAAAAGTTCGTTATTTATCTTGGTTTATATTAGTTTTTTACAATACCATTGACATTATTACTAAGTTGTGAATCCTTATATGTTTTCAAAGATTGAGTGTTATCACTCTTTTTATAAGAAATTAGATTTAGCCAGTCATCAATATTGTTAAAGACTAATTAAAAGAAATAAATCATCTCCTTTGGCAGAAATTATTCATTTCTAATTATCGGGATTGTCATTTTTTTGCCGCCAGTTATTATAACAGTTTGCTTTTTTAGCAGGCTATGAAATTTGACAAATCGGAAAATATGACTGACAAGTCGCTATACATATCTTGCTTGTCGTTAATGGATGCTTGTCAAAATCTCATAATTATATATCGTTTTAAATAGTCGTTTAAAATGTCTTATTCGACTGCCGAACTATACGCATGTTGGTTGTGTTTTCCCATTGGCCTGGCTGGCTGAGCGAGTATACACAGCAAATTATCCCAAATGAAGAAATTTTAGTAGAATGGTGTTTGGTCAGTACGAGTTCATCCCAACCCACATTAATCCCCAGATAAGTCTAAGAAGAATCAGTTTGGAGTTGGATATTTACAAAACATCGATAAACCTAATTCTAAAAGACTATCTACACGCTTATCATATTGAACTCTTTGGTAAACTGATGAGTGATTAGACTACGGTCGTTGACTAAATTCTATAGCAGATGATTATCCCAATTTTGTATCTCGTATATTATGGACCGATGAAGCTACGTTTTATTGGAAAGTGTTCCTTTACAAACGAGAAGAGATATGTGAATGCAATACGATAGATCTCCAGCCCATTTAGTTCACGAAGTTAGGAATGTTTTAGACTACACTTATACAAATCGTTAGATGGGAAGGGACAGTTTGTTTCCATTGTATGATAGATTTCCAGATTATACTGGACTCTTGGAGTAGAATAAAAGATATTGTTTATCAAACTCGCTCTACTACCCCTGAGAATATGGTTGATCGTATTCGAAATACTGACCTTGAAAGAGTTGGATAAATTCCTGCATAGAAACATATTTATAAAGACCTTTGGTTTTCCTTTTAATCAATTGTGTATTTTATCGTTAGCAATGTTTAGTTTCCATAATGTTTGGATAGAGTTATTAATTTATGGCAGCTGCGTTAGATTAGAATAAAGATGTTGAGATGCAGTTTTCACTTGTTTGACTATCTAATGAGGTAAAAAAATTCATATAATTGCATTTAATTTTTTTTTCAGAAAATATTTTTGCCATTTGGTGGCAGGGTAGTCAATCGCAATCATCTCACTCATAGCAGGTTTGATAGCCTAGGGGTTATCGATATCTATTTCCGGCAATGTTGGAGCCAGAGCTTTTCTTTTAGAGATGGAGCAAAAAGCATCTAACAAAAAGGGTTTGATTTTTTTCTCAACTTTAAAACAGTCTTCAGTCCAAGTATTATTAATGTAATAAAATTTTGCAGAAAATGGGTTTTAAAATTCAAGATGGCAATTGTGACTTCTGGTGGCCATTTCAGAAACTAATTTTCAGCATTTTCTCTTGCCCGATTGCCCTTACTGGGACACCCAGTATCATTTTAGATGTCTTATTACTTTGTCTGCTAACAGGACAAACGGTTCTCGACTAATTCTTGGTACAAACCGATTTCAAAATTGGCTAATATAAATTCACATGGCAAAACATAGTCTAATCCATAGCTAAGCAACAAACTTAAACAGCATTAGTTCGTCAATAATTAAATCAATTGATATTATAAAAGAAAGTTATTCACCAGTGCAACTATTTTTTCTTTCAGTACGGCAAGCTTCTTACTTTTAACAAAACCACTAATCCGCGCGAGAATTCGCCATTTTCAAAAAAGGATACATGAAATGTTCTACACATATTATTCAACAAGTCACAGTTTCATTATTTAGTCGTTTACAGAAAATTGCAAATAATCCAAAAAGTGTGTTTGATTTGTATGCAACGAGTTCTGTGGTTATAAATTAAAAGAGTTGAGTTTGAAAGATAAGGCAAATCTGACTTTCGTGACGCACATGCGCATGCTTTATTTCATGTAACAAATTAATGACAACTGATTTAACTTTTTAATTCCAATGTTAATAGTTTAAAGTTGTATGTCCATCTGGATTCACTAAACAACCATTTAACTTTTTACTCTGCATTTTAAATTAGTGTTAATGATAAAAGATGCTTGCGTGAATTCATCGTAACAACTCCAGTTTAACATTTGGTCAGTTTGGTCCCGATTTTCCCTACAATAGCTACAAAAATTTTCAGTGTTGACGCCTCTAGTGACTGTGCCGAGTCTTGAAAACGGAAAACACGCGGGACGTAGGGTTTAATTCAATTTAAAGTTGAAAAGGTAAAATGTGGAAATAGTTTTAATTTTTTTTTTCTTAAAATATAAATAGAGTGCTGTTATATAACCGTCATGACAGTACTTAAGTACTTGAACACAAATAATAGATGGCATTCGTAACAGTATACCCTTCTATCTTATAGTCTTCGGTGCAGTATACGTACGTATTTAGTAGAACTGGCCATAGATACTAAAATTGTTAGTTAGCGCAAACGTTTTTTTTTTTAAAGAATTGTTCACCCCTCGATGCCAACTATTCTATTATCATTTCCTAGATAATCTGCTATATTTCTATATTCTTTTATACTACTGTCAAAAGTGATACTGTGTTTATAATTATTTTGAAGTGCCAACAATTATTAAAGAAAAAGCTACCACTACCACTTTGAAAATTTGATATAATTTTTGACAGATTGGATGCAGTACATGTTAAAAGTGAAATACAAAAATTAAGACGATGCGAATTTTATTAATGCATGTTTTGAGATCATGGCGAATTTTTTTTGGGTGCAAGATGTAGTTTTTTACAAAACGTGAAAGGGGTCGTTTATATACGTAACCCCAAATTTATTATTTTGTAAAATTTCCTGGTTAAATACAATTAATATAGCAGTTTAGCAATACTGTGCAGCTGGATAAGATTTGCCAACGACAGTTAAAATTTCCCCATATACTAAATACTGAAACCTCAGGATTACATTATATATAATTACGATCTAAACACTTTTATTTGATGTGTCTCGAAAAACTATTATTTGCAATTTGCAAAATAAAAGTAGGTAAAGTATTGCTCAAAGGTGCCTTCTATTTGTTGACCATGTTTTATTGTAATTATGTGTGTCCCATACTCTTATTTGATAGATTTGATAGATTCATTGTCAAATACATTAGGTGAGTTGTAAAATTGAATATATATTATTACATTTTTTAATTTTGACAAAAATTCAGTCATATTCAAGTTAAGTCAAATTTGCATACCATTTGCTATTGCTAAATTTATACTACACACGGTATATTATATCTTTAATCAATAGAACACGTTATTCTGGTTAAAATGACATGTTTTTGGCTGATTGACAAAAACATTAAATTTTAATTTTCTTCAAGGTAACAAAGTCTTATATATTTGAAACAATTAAAATGAGTATATTTTCTTTAACTATAAATATATGATAATAAACTGATGTTTAATTTGTCAAATATCACATTGACTTTAACTGGAGGTCAAAGACTAGTTGAATAATGTGTTCTATTTACTACATATATAATATTGCTAAATGCTACATAATGCTATATAATATTGCTAAATGCTACAAATATTTCTGTTGTAAAGAAAAAAGTTATAAGGAATAAAAACATTCTCAAGTCAAATTTAATAAAATGCTTTATTCCAAAATGTTGTCTTTAGTGCAGAAATGAGACAATTAAAATTTAAAGGCATAACATAAAATAATATATTTCATAACAAATTCTAATTTTTTCTAAAGCTCCTTAGAATGGGATAAATGTTTTCAAGCGCTTCTTTAATATCTCCTCTGGACTTTGCACCAGTAAAAACAAGCTTTCCATTAACAAAAATCAAAATTACAATTCTAGGTTTTACTAATCTGTAAACCACACCAGGGAAGAGTTCTGGCTCATAACTGAAACAACAAACAAACAAAATATTCTCAATAATATACAAAACAAATAAGTGATATTACCAACAAATATAAGAATTGGTAAAGCTAACCTGCTAAATTGACCATGCATTTGATTTAAATGTTCCAGCTTTATCGGAAATCTCAAATCACATGTCGCTACCATATTTTGAATAGCATAATCAGCGAATTGAATCTAAGAGAAAAACAAATTCAGGAAAATATTTACTCATCTATTAATAAATGTGCTTACCTTAAATCCCAACTTTTGTATAATTCTTGCAAATTTTTTTGCTGCCAGTAGAGAATCTTGTTCATTCCTCATGCCAGTGCAAACAATTTTCCCAGATTTAAATATCAAAGCCGTAGACCGAGGTTCCCTTAACCGCATAACAACTCCATGAAATCTGCCAGGATTATATTCAGTATTCCTTGTTCTAGCATTAATGAGTGGTAAATCTAGTATTGTATGTAGATTTACTGTCGCCACACAATTTCTTGAAAATACTAAATTATAAGTTGGAAACTAAAGTATTATCTCTTAACTTACTGTATAGTAATATTGGTATGTGGTTCTCCTGTTGCTGAACCTGGAATGGCCACCGTCATTAAGGATGGATTTCTAGCCTAAAAATATTAGTTTTGTACCAGGTCAATCAGTTTGTGCAACATCTTACATTCGTTAGTAATTGAGAGGGTACATTCCAATCTGGTATGGGTATGTTATTGTATTTTGTGGGACTGTTTAATATAGCTTTTAAGTGGACATCATTAGGAGCTTTCTCCATCTTCAAATACCGTTTCGACTATGCTTTTGCATGAGATAAGAGATAATTATCTTGTACCAGAGACAATATAAGTTGTTTTCGCTTATACCTTACATTGAAAATAAAGTTTTTGTCAAATTATAGGTTATGTAGCAGCTTTTACTGTGCATTGACATTTGCATTGGAATCTGTAATATTCTTCTTCATAACTTGTGTTGGGCAAAATTACAAGGATAACTTGCTTATAAATCGATGATTGTATTTTGTTGATTTGATATCTGGTTCGTCGTTTCCTCAAATGTATAGGTTTTCCACATAGGATTTTGCCACTTTGGCACACACTAATGAAACTTATTTATTTATTATGGGTATTTTTCCAAAAAATATATTATTCCTTATAAATTTTAATTTTTAGAAAATGACTATGGCACAGTTATCTTGCACAAATATTGTAAAATGTAGCCTTTCATAATTTTGTTTATTTTTTAATTGAACACCGAAATATTTAAAGTTTGAAGTTCATTAAGAAGAATGTCTTTAAGGTCTCAGGTAATCAGTTTATATAAAACGGTAAATAGTTGATGAATTAAATTTTCAAATAGCCAAGTTCATAATTGTTTCAGTTGCTATACCTAGGGCGCGAATATCCGTCAGGTTATGACTTTTTTCGGAAAAGGTTGCACAATGCTTTTCTGAAAAATAAAGATGTGAAGGATCCTGACAAAATAGAAAAGATGATTGCACATGGACAATATATTGTTCGAGAGCTTGAAGCTTTATACAAATTGAAAAAGTACAGAACCCTGAAACGAAGGTATTATAATTAACTAATCATTGTCAGATTGTTTTAAGAGTGTAAGTATGTGAATAAAAATTTGTGAATCGAATATTGTATTTGCTACTTGCTTCTGCAAATCTCCCTTACTTGTAGTGGTTTAGAACTTCAACTGCGGGTTTGCAATAAAAAAATCAGTTAATGATCAACAGGAAAGGTGATATGATTTATTTATCTTCTACATTAACAAGAGCAAGGATTGCCACGATTTATTTTTACATTTTACAATATATTATCATTTCTTATTGTTCGCTTTGGTTAACATTTAAAAATCATAAGAAAATGTACTTTGATAACAAATACCTAAATCTATGAATAATCAATGTATTAAAGCAGGCGGTTATTCTTGATCTATAAGACTTGTTCCTGTATCAGTTCAAGGCCCTTGAGGCAAATCTTTATTATTATGTGACACTAAGATTTATAATACATTTGTAATCTACTATTGCCCATCCTTATAAAGCTATCATCGTGCATTCCCTAATTTCAATCGATTCAGTTTCCTAACCATTTGATATTCTAAATAAATTAAGCTCATATTTTTAATGTGATAATGCAAAAAATTTATGTTGTAAAAATATGGTCTAGTTGGTATTGGTGCCAAATATTACCTGTGTAAAACTGGAGGTATCCAGTGTGTGTCATTTAAATTACAATTTGCGGAAATATTTACATAACAGACAAAATTATAGGCAGTCTTTAAATAAAAATTCAAAAAATTCACCAGTTTTAATTGCAAACAAATTATTTTGTATGAAACGGTTTGGAAATCAGAGGACCTTAAAGGGTACCTACCTAACATACAACATTGCACCACTGTGTTCCACATATATTAGGTAAGGGTTTTAATTTGGAGAGATAAATTTACTTCGTATATACACAACAAAGGGGAAGATAATATCAGACTAAGAATAAAACTCACTATCAGACTAAGAATAAAACTCACGTAAAGTAATCTAATAAAATACAAATATTTACATACTTTAACACATTTACTAAAGCATCCGTCTATATAACTAAATATCGAGTATTTTCATTGGTTTGGACGATGGTATTTAAAATCGCCAGTGTATTCAATGTCAGGGGGCGTAAGGAGAAGCTTGCAATGTTTGTCATCCTAATTTTTCTGTACAATAAAGAATGTTGCTTTTAAATTTCTACTTAACATAATTGTGCTTCTTGTAGATAACTCCGAACTTCAAACGATTCTTGCATAATTTTGTACATAGTATGCAACAGCTCTAGGTGCTATACTACTATAAGTCTCTATTGTCTTGGCAAACTCCCTAGATTTCTACTAGTTGCCGTCTATAAGATATGACACTCCAGGGTACACTGAGAGAAATATGATGGATCGACAAAACCATTTTACCAAATATCTTGTTTTGCAAGCGACATTGTGAAACGATATTCTTCTACCATTATTCCATTTCAGAACTGAACAAGAAAATATTATTTTCGGGATAACCAAAGCATTATAGCGACTACTAGAAATTATGTTATAGCTTTAGAGAGAAGGAATGTAGACTTCGTAAGGTCTGGTATATTTTTGTCACGAGAAACATACATGTACGGGTTTCACTTTATGCTTGGGTAAACATCAACAATAAATCTGAAAAAAAATTTTTTTTATTGTACAGTAGGGGACTTTATCGTATTTACCTTAAAAAACAACCACATATTTAAGTAGCGTTGTAGGCAATGGTTCACTTTCTAATCTTTCTTTTCATCTTCGGGATCTTTCAGCGTGTGCCACTGGGCAATAGGTCTGCGCGGCGAGGCCAACATATCCGACCAATGGCGCAGTTCGGTTCCTGTTGCATTATATCCAAGCACCACCTTTCCAATAGGTTCCGACGTGCCAATCCTATCATAGTCGACCACGGTCACGACCAGGTTTACTTTCTGGAATAAAATATAATGTCAGCCACAATCCCAATACTGCAAAATTTTCTCTTGAAACTCGCCTGTATTTGTTCGAACGGTACCTCAAAAGTGAACGATTCATTATAGTACGGATTTAAAGTGCATTTTTTGATACTGGTCTTCTTCTTCTTCAGTCGTTTTCCGTTTTGCATTAGGGCAATTTTCACGTAGGGATCTTTAAATGAAAGAAACTAGAGGGTGTTTCTTCGAAACAGTGGAGTCAACGTACCAGATAGTCCTCCGACGTCCATCTTCTTCAGATTTTTAGCTTCCAGTATGACAACGGTCAATTTTCCAGCGGTCGGTACATACCGTAAAGAAAAGCATATATCTCCCAACTTGTTGTCCTGCAATGTCACATGGTAGAGTAACTTGGCTTTGACTGCCGTGTAGCCTAATCACATTAATCTTGCTTGCGATGCTAATTTTTTTTAGTTTTTTTTTTCCATTGGATACACAATTAGAGATAGTGAAACGACAAATACTATACAAATATATTGGAAAAATTGATCCTATCATATTTGTGTGCATTTTACAATGTTTGGGGAAAGCTGTGGATGGAAGTTGTTATGTTCTTCGTCTGTCGGTGGTTGTTGAGATAGTTTTTCAGAAGGGGTAAATCATGCGTGAAATCTGGTGTATCAGCTCTGTGAAATCTTTGTTATCTGTGAAATACGTGAAATTTTGTCTAAATTTTTCATGTTTGAGCAACTTTCGTTTAGTGAAGTCATCTTTGAACAATCAACAAATGAATCTAAAAGATTTACAATATGTGACTAAATAACGATTTTTACGTTATTTGCAGATTTTGTCTAGGTATGACGTTTGTTTGCACTAATTTTCACAATTAATTGGCAACTACAACATTGTTACCTAAGCATAAGTATTATAAAATAAACTAAGTATATTGGTGATGCGATTCATTTGCATTGTTTTGGAGTAATGATTTAGGGATAAAAAAATTATGCACTCATTTGCCATGTCTTTGTTATAAGACATAACATCATAACTCATAATAAATAATTTCTCTATTTGCCTATTCGGCTTTATTATATGTCAGAAAATTAAGAATTGACTAAATTTTTACTTATATCCGTCCTTTTCTATGAAGAAAATTACTTAACGTGAAAAAAAAAAAGAAAAAATTAAGCAATGAAAGTTTAAAAAAAAATTAAAATATGATATTTATGAAGTCAGAAAATTTAAATATCACTTGGAATTTCTATATAAAAATTAGTTGTCAAAATGTAGAAAATGATATCGAAATCTATGAAACCATTATAGAATAAGTGAAATCCGTGAAATCTGTGAAATCATATAATTGTTTCGGTTTTTCAGATACTACCGAGTTTTATATCTGGTATCTGATTTACAAAAGTATTAATAATGTGAATGCAATATTATAAGCAAAAACTTGTCTTGTCTGATCTGCCTTCTTATGATTGCTCTGAAGAAAGGAATTCGGGTTTGGATTACATGGTTGGTTCACATTCCTGAATTTTCTCTAGCGATTTGAAATTTGATCCAAAGAATGCTAATGTTATGATGTAATGGTAATGTTAGGCAGTATATGCACATGGCCATAGTCCCAAACGTTCTGTCTATCTTTCTGCGCCAGTGATTAGGGTTGTGTGCTATTATATACCAGCCTTCTAGGGGTATTGATGCTATGTTCAAAAAATATCTAAAATGCTTTTATGACATTTTAGAGGTGTATATGAACTTTGAAACGAAACTAGCGCAACACAAGCACAAGCACAGTACAAGCTGTTTGACTGTAAGTAAATATTTTATAAGACTGGCGGAATGTAATTCGGTCAATATGGTCTTCATTTTGTGGGGTAACGAGATGGTATAGCAGATAGTGTGATGAAAAGGGAGCCGAATAAATTTCAGTTTTCTCTGAGTGCTCGGAGGTTCTAATGGCTTCCTTTTCTAAGAGTTCTCCAAGTCTTTGAAGCAATAGTGGGCGCTCAGTCTTAGACGCTACTACGCGACTATGCTGGTAGGAATCCTGTCCCTATCGTGATGGTGGGCGACTGCACAACATGTAGACGGTGTTACGAGGAGGAAACTTGATTTTATCTCCTAACAGCTCTTCATCACTAGGGGGTAGCCGTTTAAGAATACTAGAAGCTCGTTAAGACCTAGGAACTATTCAAACTCCCTACTACTTTCTCACGAGTAAAAGGCTCTCACAATACGAACATGTTTTGTCTCCTAATCATCCGTTATAGTAGTATGCAGGCGAAAATGGAGTCAACGAGAGAAATTTCAAATAAAAGTTGAGGAAATTAGAGGTTGTTGTCTCGAAGATTTCTTCTTTTCAAAAGCGGAAATGTTGGACCAAGTCATACGTAAAGCACAAGTCACTTTAGTTTCATTTTGTTCAAATGTGTGATAGAATTAACGCATTTTTATATGATAGGATCAACATATATAATAATGCATAAGAAACACAAACTTTAGCCGAAGGTAAAGTCGAAAATGTAACACAGCGAAAGTGTATAATATTAATCAACGAAAAATATTGTGTTCATAAATCACGCATGCGCAAAAGAAGAGTAGTGTGGTCAAGCTTGGGGGAGAACGTTTCCCGAACAAGTCTTAAAGCGGGGACAAACAATTAACAAAACAATCATATTATACATGGGGATAAGGTGTTTCGATTAACGAATGTTTTAAGTTAGTGAACGTGATCTAAACTGGACTGACTCCGTTAATGCAGCAGATATCAATTTTGCAAGGCAGATTGAGAGTGCGACGAGTAATAATAGTAATGACATGAAAGTGTAATAAGAGATTGTTTGTTACCTACTATTAGTTAATTTTTCTAAGTGTTTAGATTTTTTGAGGGTAAATCATTCTCTAAATTCCTGAACTAAATGGTTCTGATATATCTTGCGCATTTTTCTGTTGGTAGATGTAGAATATCTATTTAATAATAATTTGCATATTACCAAAATATTACGCTAACTGGTTTTGTTTTATAAAAAAATAATATTTATAGTTATATATATTTATTATGTAAAATATATATATATATATATATATATATATATATATATATATATATATATATATATATATATATATATATATATATATATATATATATATATATATATATATATATATATATATATATATAAATATGATTATACAAATAAAATATTGTGATGATGTATATTTGTGCGCATTATTTAGAAATAAGGTCAGTCAGTATTTTAGTAAGTTTTCTCAACTTAATTTGAAAATTTTTAATTTTTTCCCTTTTTTAAGATATTAAAATTGACGGAGTGTGGTAAGAATATAACAAAAAACGCAAAGATAAGAGCTGTTTGGATTCACTTATTGAGTTTGTATCTTCGCGGACAAATAACTTTTTGATTTTAAATGGTACACCCTCTATATCAAGTCACTTTTGAATTCCTCGGACATTTTTTTATATACTTTACAATTTTATCTTATTTATCATTAATAAAATTATTATATTATTAATATTAGCATTAAAAGGTTCTTCCATTTTAAAAATGCTAAATGGCTATTAATTGGACAGAATATGACGGCGAAACATTACAGAAAAGAAAATCGAGCACTAAAGACATGACACTTATTATTTTCTGTCTTTTGATAATTTTTTATAATCATAATCATGCCTGGTAATTTTGTTATTAACAAGAAAGTTTTAAAATTTGTTGTATGTTCTAAAAATGAAACAAATATTCTGAATATCATTAAGAGACTTGCTGAAAAATATGCAGAGGGATAAAAATCTACAAGTTGTTAAAAAAATTATAGATGTATGAAAAAAATTTTTTTGAAAAAAATAATTTTATTTTATTTTTTTTGAATTTTGTAAATAACAAACTCATTTTTTAATTTGTCTTATTAACTATTGGTATTTTTTTATTATTTTTGTTTTGCAAATGCTAAAATATTGATTGAAATTGATTTTTATTTATATAATTTTCATATAATTTCAAATAATTTTTTAATGCTTCTGTATTTAGTTATTTTTAAAATACTAACACAGATCAGTAAAGAAATCAACCCCAGGACTTTCAGTTATTATAAATGTCATTTTTTTCGAACATTATATTTATAGAATTATATCGGTAAGTGTAGTAAAGAAACAACGAAAACACCCCCGTTCTCCCATTTATATAATTTAGCAAGACAAAGAGAACAATCCTAATTAGTAAATTTGCCTCACTTTTCTCACGCTGGTCACATTCCAGCTTAGATCGCGTTTAAAATTTTATTTGTGTTTGTATGGTGACTTTTGAAAACGTCGCGACAAATAGTTGCAAATAGTGTGACGGTATGTTAAATTAGAAAAAAATGGCGGAGGAATTTTTGAAGTGGAAGTATAAAAAATATCCTTTTGTCGCGAACTTTTGGTTTGCACTGCAACTTTTTTTTTATGTTGGCACGTGTGGGTGTTCGCTAATTTATTCTGTGTAAGTTACAACAAAATCGTATCTAAAAAATTGTCTGCATGGTAGAGGAGTTGCTTTTGGGTGGCATTCATATTGGTTATTGTTTCTTCTGGAAACACCCAGCTCAAACCAGCTCGAAGATCCAATTGGAGATAATTTTTTCTGACAGGAAAACTATATAAATATTTGTTATAAGGGTCAATGAAAAAATTCTGAAAATAAATTGATGTGGCAGCTGATTCGTCTGCTTTTGTAAAAAAAATCAATCACAGTACAGCGTTTACTAGTCTAATGTAAATTGCAATGATGGGCTTTGAAGGAAACTAACGAAACGTGAATTTTAGAGTACAGAGCTTGCTAAGAAAAAATTGTGTTACAGTTTGAACAGTCAAAGTACCTTTAGAGATATCAGGGAATCCCAGAATATTAACAAACAACTAACAAAAATATTACCTTGGCCAATGTGAAATCAAGCAATTTGGTTGATAATAGCATAGAATAGAATCGGTTTAAATGCTCGATTGCTTTTTGTTTGTTTTTGAATTTAAAAAAATATATTCACACATTCTAATGTCCGGTACACACTTAGAAACATTGTGTTTAGAAACAATTTTTAAACCCGTTTCCGAAATGTTTCGGAAATATTTATGATTTGCTACAGTAGTATTTCAAGACATTGAGAAACAGTTTCCAAACAATTTTTGAATATCTTTGAGTTCCCGTCGTGTGGAAAACATGGAACAAACATTGCAGGTCTGATAGAAGACTATTTCTATTAATTATATTATTTTTGTGAATATTTATGCATTTGAGCTATATAGGAAGTTACGTGTATAAAATTCGGCAGAGAATGAATTAATGCTTCGCAGGTTTCTGGTGATATAGATTGTTTGGAAATTATACTT